CTCACAAGCGGTGGCACCATTGTGTTCTGAACCCTCCTCCTCCCTCTCTCTCTCTCTCTCTCTCTCTCTCTCTCTCTCTCTCTCTCCTTTCCTCCCTTTCATGAGTTTCATTTTTCATATCGACGATTATTTTTACATATCATGCGCGCGCGATAGCGAGCCATTTTACTACTTCCCGTTTCTCCGCCGGCCGTCCGGTTTTATCGCGATTTTTCGATCGTAAACACGATCGAGTAAACGCGTCTGGTGCCTTTCTAAAGGCTGAACGTGTATTCTTCTTAACGCGATGCGCCTCGGTGAAAGTCCGCGGCGTATTTATTAGACGTAAGATCAATTTGACACAGACGCTAATCATTGTCCGCGGCGCGATGCGGGGAAAACCGCGCTCGACTGTGTGGTACAGTTGGCGTACCACCGCGGAGATCTCCTCTCGTTGCGGCGCGCAACGAGAAGGATGTCAGATTCGGCATTGATATCGACGCAGCCTTCCGACCAGCTGTGACCGCTGCAACAGGAAAAACTGATCCCCGCTGCTCACGACGATGCGTTCTTGTGCTCGAAAGAACGCGAACAGCGGTTCGCACCTTTCGACAGAGAGAGAGAGAGAGAGAGAGAGAGAGAGGGAGGAGGAGGGTTCAGAACACAATGGTGCCACCGCTTGTGAGGGTGTAGATCAGGTCAAACTGGAAAAATTTCTCTAACATTAAAAAAAAGAAACCAAAAGAACTCTTTTGAAACAAATCAAAAGTTAAAATAGGGCCTATGAGAGTTTAGCACAGGTGTACACGCAAAAAAATGATTTTGTATTTATTTATGGTAGCTGATTCAAACTTAGTCAAGAGGCTAATCGTTTAGCTGTCACTGTTAAGAATTGGCTATGACAGCTAAGATGCATTCGCTATAAAATAGAAATATATTAGGTGACATTAAAAATGCACATTATTTCAAGTAGCTAAGAAAATGGCAGTTATTCCTAAATTTCTTATTGTATGCATATATTAAAGAAGTTTGCTGTACAAGCTACAATCACTTGTTACAGTCATTTATTTCTAGCAGCTAATATTTCTTGCTGTAGTGCCTAAGTTTAACAGCGAATAAATTTGGCTTCGGTAGTATCGACATTAGCTGTTCCTATTTCAGTGACACATCTTATCTGTCACAGCTATTTTTTAGCTCTGGAAACTAGTTCTTTTTTTGCGTGTATTAGTGTAGTTAAACTAATATATAATTAGTGGATGTCCTCCGCGAGAGGAAAATTGTATTTATTAAGAAGTATTACGAAAAATCAAACGCGTTTCAGTCTTATTCGCAAACTCTCCTCAGTGATTATTAAATAAAGTCACAAAAAAAATTATTAGTCCTAACTCTTGTTAATTTTAACTCTTATTAAAAATAAAACACGCGGCCAAGTTTAGCCCCATTTTTTGTAAGTTTAGAAATAGTCCTAATTTTGATTCTTTTTGCAAGCTTATTACGAGTAGATTCCAATATATATTAATATTAAGGTAGCGCTTTAGAGAAAAATGGTCCAAAAGAGTTTCACTTTCGAGAGATGGCGCCATAGGTCAATGCATAAAAATGGACAAAAAATGAGAAAAATAAGATATTTTATTGATCATTGTTAATTCTTTTAGTAATATCGCAGATGTTTTCGTTCGGAATTACAAAACCATAGTAGTGATCATAACTAAGATACCAAATGATGATATAAAGCGCCACCTTGATACTTACATATTTCGCATCTACTCGCAACAAACTTTCAGAAAACACCAAAATTATGACCATTTTCAAACTTACAAAAAATGGGGCTAAATGCCTATGGCGGTTTGGCCGCACTCTTTAGAGTTATCAATTAAAGAAGATTCGTGAATGCGATCATACGTCATACGGTAAATGAGTTGACAACGTTTGCTGCTATATGTTTGTACATTTAGTTTGTACATTTAGGTTAAATTGAAGAAAAAGGTCCTCCATTATTTTGTAAATGAAAATGACGAAGATTTTCTATCGTTAATTACAGAAATTCGGTGCGTTATCGCGCATGATCATGTGCCAATCTTCTTTAATTACCTACAAATCTGCGTAGTTATTTGCAAAATAGTGAGAGGCTTTTTTGTTCAACTTGACCTGATGTACGAACATACGGCGGCAGACATCGCCATTGCAGCTCGTCTACCGTATGGCGCGTGATTATCCTTCGATTAATAACTCAAAATTTTACGTAGCTTCTTGAGGAGTGGTAGAGGAACTTTTTGTTCAGTTTGATCTGATCTATACCTTCAGCGGTGGCACCATTGTTCTGGGACACTCGGTATACCTTTAAAAACAGATCGAACTAAAGAACAAAAGAACACGATAAAAATTGTAAAAAATTCCGAGAAAAATACCTGTGACAGGGAGGAGGGATCTCGAAAGTGCGATATAATTTTATCATTGCGTGATTCTTTTCCTTCAGAACGTGATAATCGAAGCGTGAGGATGCGGGAGAGGCTTGAAACATCAAGAGAATCTTTGAGGCGTGTAGAAGCATTTTCATATGTTTGTTATTCATACCCGAGAGGATTGCGTGAAAACGAACGGCCGATGCCCGAATAAGTGTTCTCACCGTGGAAAAATTCGCTCCATATTCATGAGGCAACTCGCTTTCTCAGTTTGATACGGGAGACGTTACACGATACACTCCGTGTATCACGGCGCGATTAGCCACGCAATTATCGCCTGACGTGGTGTGTATTGCCACGCGAATTACGAGCAATTAGATAGCCACCGTACACGTGGAAATGCATCGCCGAGTCAATTGTCGGTCGATTGTTCTCCGCAATTTCTTACGGCACCCACCGCAACGAGCAACGTTTGTTGCTCCATTCTGTGAAACAGTCATATAAACTGTACAGGGTGTTTCACACCTCGCGACTTTACTTTTGCTGAGGAATTGTCTGAGCAAGTCGTAGACATTTCTCCTTCGTGAAAATATCTTTATTTGGAGATTTTCTCATTTTCAACATATCCTTGCGGCTAAACACTATTCTGTTAAAGTACATGCCGAGAAATACCGTTACACTGCCAAGAAAAACGATTACTTTCCTTCTTTTAAGTAATGGTTACCTTGAACAAGGTAATATTTTCTTGATGACAGTCTTACAATATGCTCATCACAAATTTCAGGAAAGCGCATCGTCATATACTGAAATGAAGGATTTATTTTTTAATGATTTATTCTCTTGTATTCTCAAGAATATCATAAAATTGTATTAAAGAAAAAATCGATTCGATTTTATGTATAAATAATAAGCAAGCTTAATATTTGTTTAACTTAATATTCTTGATCGAAATAATAAACTTATTAGGATTCAGAATGTATTTTGAATGAGCGTGATTATGATAAACTTGTTATAAATTTGCGGATACTTAAACTTATGAAATACTTGAAACAAGTAATGTAGCATATATTTTTTTGTGAGTACACATAAAAATATTATTCTACTGCTAAAAACAGAACTCAGTTTGTTTTCCTTCTCTTAAGTAACGGTTGTTCTCAACTAAGAATATTTCCTTAATGACAGTCTCAAAATATGCTCATCACAAATTGATGAAAAGCTCACGTATTTAAAAGAAAAATATATTCTATTTACAAGAATATAAAAGCTATATCAAAGAAAAAGCTGTTTAATTCTATGTAGCAAAACGAATTTTTCTTTTCATTTCAAATATTCTTGATTGAGACATTAAACTTATCAGAATGTATTTTGTATAAGTTTGATTCTTATGATGAATTTACGATAAATTTGTGGAATTATATAAACTTATGAAATTTTTATTTATTTCTACATATTGTAATCAACTTTTACTCGATAACATGTGCTTCTGTACATAGAATCCGTGCAAAATTGATCGAGAAAAATAATTTTCTTATCCGCCTGACTGTCAGAAGCTCGGTTCGCGAAAAGCCTCGCTTTTTTTCGATCGTCCCTCAGTCACTATCGCTGCCATGACGTTTCGACGTTGAGGAAAAATCTGTAAGCTATAAAGAATCTTTAAATTGACCTCTCATGCATATATTACGAAATTAAGATCGTGAATTCCGTGACATTTTGTAAGTAATCGTCACAAGACCAACATAATCAATGCAAAGGATCGCGAAGTAGCGCGTAATTGAAACTCGCACGCGTTTTATCCACGATCACGATCGATCTATCACGCGAGCGGCATGGCATACCAAGAGAAAAAGTTTTGCTAACTCAACAAAATACCGCAACAAATGGTTTGTTGATGTGGAATGACCCTGGAAACAAGTAGTTACTTTCAATTTGTTGCTCTAAACAACTCTTCTCGTAATGAAGACATAACTGACCCCAATCTATAATCCTAATCTATATAAACGAGGACAAATGTGATTTGTAACTCAAGTAATGTATGTTTATTAAAATGTTAATGATGAGAAATGATTTGCAGCGCTAATTGTTCGACCTGTTTCTCTAACGATTATCAAACAACAAACGTGCTTTTGTTTTAATCAGACTTGTGAGAATATTAATTAAATTTTTCTTCATTTAATAATTAATTTGAATAAATATGTTTTATTTCAACTAATTGACGATTCAAGCAAAATCAATTGAAAAATATTTGATTAACTTCCACGAATTCAATTAGAGGCCGTTCAATTGATATGATACGAATGAAGGGAATAAAAAATCGTTCAATTAATAATTAATAATTGAACTTAGCAAATTTAATTAAAGATCATTTATAGTCAACGATTGAATGTGGCAAATTTTATTGTCTCAGGCAGTTTACGTTTATTAAAATGATAAATGATGAGAAATGATTTACAACATTAACTGTTCGATCTGTTTCCCCGATTAAACAACAAACGTGCTTTTGTTCTGGTAAAGGATTAATAAGTTCCGAAGGATTTTTCTTAGTACATCATCTCAGGATCATTTCAATCTCCGGGACATTTCAATCAAGAATATTTAAAATGAAAAGAAAAATTCAGCTTGTTACACTATATAAGGTCGAATCAATTTTCCCTTCAAGATGTTCTTGTAAAAAGAATATATATATGTATTTTTTTTAGCACATGATGATGAACTTCTCTTCAATTTGTAATAAGCACTTTAAGACTGTCATCAAGAAAATATATTTTCTGGAGGACAACCGTTACATAAATAAAGGAAAATGAACTGAGTTCTGTTCTTAACAATAGACTAATATTTTTTTGCGTGCACGCACAGAAAAATACATGCTGCATTCAAGTATACATTACTTGCTTCAAATATTTCATAAGTTTAAATATCCACAATAATTTCATTATAATCATCACACTTATTCAAAATACTTTCCGAATCCTAGTGGATTTATCATTTCAATCCAAAATATTAAATTAAAATTAAAACTCTTCGTCTCCTAAAACGGTTCACTAGATAGAATCGAATCGATTTTAATCAATAGAGAAATAAAAGGGCCAATAAGAGTTTAAGCATGGCTGTTATAGTGCCATAAAAACTAATAAAAATTAGGCCTAGTTGACCAACATTATTTTGGCTTTAAGCGAAACTTAAACATATATCTATCTTTCTTCCTATATACATAAAGACAGACATATATTTAAGTGTCACTTAAGACCAAAATAACGTTGGTGCAACCGGGCCTTAGTGACACACCTCTCACTTTAGAGTGGATATTTTATTATTTAAAAATATTGAAGAAATTCATACGCGTTTCGGTCTAACTTCACACAGACTCTCTTCAGTGGTAACAAGTCATTTAAAAAATGATAAAAATAATTTTTTCTTTGATAAAATTTTATATCTGAGAATAAATTCTTTATCTTAGTATATGACGATGAAATTTCCTGAAAATTGAGCACACTGTAAGACTGTCATCAAAATATTCTTTGTTGAGGACAACTGTTACTTAAAAGAAGGAAAATGAACTGATCTTAGCGGTAGAATCGAGTAAAAAATGATAAAAATAATTTTTTCTTTGATAAAATTTTATATCTGAGAATAAATTCTTTATCTTAGTATATGACGATGAAATTTCCTGAAAATTGAGCACACTGTAAGACTGTCATCAGGAAAATATTCTTTGTTGAGGACAACTGTTACTTAAAAGAAGGAAAATGAACTGTTCTTAGCGGTAGAATCGAGTCGACTTTATCTCCCGGGCTCGGATCGATACGTGCCTCGCCGACGGCATAGGTTCTGTTTCGATCGGTCCTTTAAAAACGGCCAAGTATCCCCGGCGCGATTGTGCGCTGCGCGAGAGAGAACTCGATTCGGCTGAAAGCGGCGCGGCGCGATGGTAACGGTGCCGTAAGATGGTAACGTGCAAGAGTAGAGCATCCGCGAGTCGCCGCGGGTGATGGACCGTGACGTTCTCACAGATAACTCACGGCTTCCGACATTCATTCGCGTTCTGGTTATGTCAAGTTATCTTTGAGGATAACTCGCGCGCCAAGGAGGAGTGCCATCCCTGTGTATTTCGCGCGCTCTCCGGCCGTTTGTTTTTCGAAAGAGCCGCGCGCCATTCATTCGGATCGATTCGTAACGGCGCGCTTCTGTAGGATTTTTCGAAATCTCGCCTCCTCTCGAGATGCGACCCGCGCCATTTGCGTGTCGCGCTCAACGCAAATTCAATCGTGACACACTGCAATCTGATTGTGCAATTGATTTTTTTTTGAATGAAACAAAGCGCGGCGATGTGTCGCGTGAAATAATCGATTCGTATCCAGAACGATGCGCGCTCGCTGCGTGCTTGCGTGTGTATTGATCGGAACGAAGCGTCCTGAGAAATTTAATTGATCTTCGCTGATAATGGTAAATAATCTCTAGCGTCTTAGAACCGCGTTTCACTACCGACACTAATGAGGAACGTTTTGCAGGACTTTGGAAGGAAGAGGGAGGAGAGAGAAAGAGAGAGTGCGTCTAATATATTTCTCACACTGCAGGGAGCATCCTCGAGGCTCTGTCAGATTCTTCTTTATCGACTTGCAGTAGATTAGAAGCAGCCGCGTCCTTATCCGACTTCTGCCTCGCACTCGCGACTGTTTCGGAGACTGATAAGTCTCGTCTCGCCTCTGTCATCGCGCGTGTTTTGAAAGAAAAATGTGTACATTCATTCAAGAGATGATGCGTCGCGCGCTTCGCGAGAGATCGACTACGCCTGTAGGTGACAAAATTCGGTGAGAATTCGATGACGGAAGAAATCTGTCGGGAGCGAGGTAAAATAGAATGTTGTCGTACAGTTTATTAAGTTACAATCAAATTAACAAGTAACATCGAGAAAGTCTTTGAAAATCGTCTCCTAAGTCGCTACCATATACAACATATACTCCCCGAACGATATTTCCAGAAGGATTAGAGACTGATACGTATATGTACACGAGTTATACGAGGATTACGGCGATAACTGCAACGCCTGTATGAGATTTTGTGATGCGCGCGAAACCAGTAGCACTCTGAGAAGAGAAAAAAGCGCGTACTCGTTTGCTCCCGTTTGCCGACGCAAGATGTAGCGACACTACCGCCGAGTTGTGTCGTGAAGAATACACGAAGCGATCGTGTCGGACGTGTATATGTATTGTACAAAAATTGCAGACGGCACAAGGTTTCTCTTATTTCTACATGCTTCTGTACACACTTTTTACACTCGGATTCGCCAACGCCACCGGAGAGAGGGAGAGAAAAACAGAGAGAAAGAGACAAAGAAACAGAGAGAGAGAGAGAGAGAGAGAGAGAGAGAGAGAGAGAGAGAGAGAGAGAGAGAGAGC